GTCGGGCTGATTTCTCTTGGGGCACAGCAAATTGTGGGCTTATTGGCCCATGGAAAGACTGGCTAAAGTTATTACCACAATAAGTAAAATAAGGATCCTTACTTTCCAGGTGTGGGTGGGATCAGTTCTGTTAGTGAAGCCCTCGTTTGCCAGTTTGCTATTCATTTAAAGATCCCACCTAAACCGCCACTGAACAGAAGAAAGAAGGATAGGATTTAGATAAAATCCTCAGGGCTTTAAATCCCTTCGACTTTGCTCTTGACTACCACGTGTCCCAAAGTCACGGGCGGATTCACTTCTCTCAGAGTCGATCAGAATTGTGGTACAGCTATTCTTTGAACTTGGAATAGAAAAAGGATGTACCATTTTATTAAATGGTGGCATCCTGGTTCTTCCTATAGGCAGTAGAGATAGATGTAGAATAATTTATGTCAATATGAGGATTATTATTTGGGATTAGCAAGGATTTGTTCTTTGGGGCTTATTTAGATCTTGGCTAACTATGGATAACTATATTTAGGAGGGCTTAACTACATTTATAGATATCCTAGTCCTTCAATAACAGACCACTGGGATTCTTTCCTGAGTACAGATGTCTTACAAGCCTTTCCAGTTTAAAGCTTAGATTCCCTCACTTGGATTTCTCCTGACACTAGATGTTCTCTCACAGTTCCACAGATTCTGCTTTGTTAATAGTTTATAAATTGTATGTCGCTACTCTTTACATTCTCTTCAGGACATAGATGGTTGTGCTATTAGTGCTTCCACCAGACACATCATGAGCTCTTTGAAGGCCTGCCGTTTGCCCGGAAGCTGGTAGAGCATCCTGGCTACTGTGGGCGCCCAGTCAGTGACAGAAAGTAGCCGACCTGACCTCTCCTAACAAGTGTATTTTCTGTTTCAGTAGATGGTCAGTTTTTGAGAAATCACAGTAGTATCTTTGCAGAATGCATACAGCTACTTTTAGGGGTAGACATAAAACCCTGAAATTGATTTTTTCCCCCTTATTTACTTTTCAAAGTCTTTTTGGAGAGGGGCTTATTGTTTTTAGGGAGATTTTGGAAAACTGCATACCGCGGAGTTTTCCAAAATGTAAGGTATTACATATTTAGAATCTTTGTTCTCAAGAGGTTCGGAAGCATGGCTTCTGCTTAAATGATAGATGATCACGGGAAAAATGAGTCTTGGATTTGTTCTAGAGAATTGAGAAAGCTGGCTTCAGGGTGCGCATTTCGGGATAGAGTTGCTAACCGTGGCTGTGGCATTTAGTGAGCTATACCCCAGTCTGGCCAGGCATTTAGATATGTGCAGTCTCAGTTATTTCATAAAACCGTCTTATACATTCATCAGGGAGGAGAGTCTGTCCTGTTTTATTTTTTTCTAACATCTTTATTGGAGTATAATTGCTTTACCGTGGTGTGTTAGTTTCTGCTTTATGACAACAAAGTGAATCAGCTGTACGTATACGTATATCCCCATATCTCCTCCCTCTTGCGTCTCCTTCCCACCCGCCCTATCCCGCCCCTCCAGGTGGTCACAGAGCACCGATCTGTCCTGTTTTAGAAGTAAGGAAGCTGAGATCCAGACTAACTGGCAACACGGCTGGTGAGTGGCAGTCAGGATTGGAACCCAGTTTTCTAGGCTTTAATCCATCCTTCCTCTATGGGGCGGATTCATCCGGGCCCCTGTGCCGTGGAACCTGGCACAGTGCTTCTGTCTGCTTTTCCCCGTGCTGCCATCTGCCTGCCTGTGGGGTTGCCTCTGACAGCCCAGCATTGTTGGGCAGTATTCTGGAAAGCCCCGCCTCACTCATCCTTTACAAACTCCCATTTTGACCCCATCTGCGAAGTTCCAGCTGTCTGGCTCCGCCCTGAATCCTGGTGTTTATGCTGATTTGGAAATTGCAATCGGTAGGCTAACTGTGGCTCTGCTGGTGGACTTTCACTTGGCAGGAACTGGCTCTTCATCCTGGGTGGTTTCCAGCAGGAA